ATATATATATATATATATATATATATATATATATATATATATATATATATATATATATATATATATATATATATATATATATATATATTCTTTTCTATCATTTCAATTGGCCTGGTGATATTAAATATTTCAATGAAAGTGCTTATGGCATATTTTTAAACAGATTAAAATAATCATGTGGGAATATGGTTATCAACTTAATACTCTTTATGTCATTCATGATGAAAAACAACATACAAGTTGCGTCGTTTCAAAAGTAATGGCAATTGAGACACTTCCATGTATATAAACAGAACCCGATACATGAACGCTTTAAGCAATAGTTCTTCAATTGTCATGTTTTTGACAAGCTACATCTATGGGAGGAGGCTTCAAGTATCTACTAAACAAAACTATATTAAAGTTAGGTTATAGTAAATAATATATGCAACTTGTTGGTTTTTAGATAACTTGGTTAATGTGCAATGTTGTAACACATTTTATTAACCTGTCAAATCAAACCAAAAGGTGACAGAGTGACTTACTTCTACTTTTTACTAAAAGATCAATACAACAAGCTAACTCATCATAAATGATCGTCATTCAGCCTAATGCAGTTTAATCGGGAGGGTCATTTGTTGCACAAAATAATGATGTTCTTCATCCAACTTTGATCAAATTTTTCTCCTACACTAGCTATGAATACCAACTATGTGATGATTAAAGTAGTATCTATGACTATTTTATTATTATTATTTTCATCTTACAAATCATAATTACAACCTGTACAAACATTACTTTTTCCAACTTTGCAATACTTAATTTGTATGTAATATGCTATGTATTAGACCATAATCAATTGTCTCTTAATTTATCATTGACTTACATGTATTAACCATTGATTTTTGAATTTTATGAGTAAATTCTAAACCGTTGAAATGTGATCAACCCCCTAAACTCAATTAGATTAGTCTAACAAAATTGTATGACTACTTTGACAGCATTATAAAACAAATGTCAATTTCATCCCCTAAATTTGTTTAAAAAATATTAACATCTAAATATTTCATTACCAATTTTAGTATAAAAATATTCACATGACAAATTTTAAATAATTTTATTTGACATGTTATTGATAAAAAAGTAAAATATTATTTTTAAATGTCAATTAAAGTTTAAAATTTACCTTTTCAAGCCTAATTTTTCCGCCAACTTTAGTTACTAACATTTTATTATGATTATTATAAGTAATTGTTAATTAGAATTTATTTATTTTTAATTTTTTTTTATATTAAAATCAGTGTACATGTACCATCATCATAATTTTTATAAAAAAAATCATATAATTACTTATCACAAATAGTTTTTATCAAAGGGTCCAGTTAATCCAAATATTTTTATATACAAAAACAAATTTATTGTACAAATATTGGATATCATTATAAATTAATAATATTAAAACTATATAATAATATAATATTTTTTTTAGTTATTAAGTAAAATAAAGAAGATGTTGTAAAAAATAGTAATATGACATTTTGTTAAAAATTGACATAAATGCTTATGATATAATTTGTTAAAAAATATATGTTTTCGATGTAAATTAAACACGAAACAATTATTTATTATATTTCACACCAACAAATAAAATATATTATCTAATACCAACTAAAATTTAATATATGATTTTTAAAATAATGATTTTGTGTTACTACTTATTCGATTACGAGAAAAATATAAATTTCATATAAATTAATTTAAATATTCAAATATGAAAAAATAATATGTTTTTTTTTATAATAATCCGATGTATTAATTTTTATATAACTATAACAGTAATAACATTTATTTTTGGTTAAAAAACATTTGTATAAAATTTTATTATAATTCAATTCATACTGCATCACTTTAGAGTATGACTATATTATAAACAATTCTCAAGATATTAATAAAATTGAGAAATAGAATTTAATATTATTTTACACCATTTATACTATACAACATTTATTACAATAAAGATTAGATTTTTGTATAATTAATGCAAGCAATAAAATATATCATTGACTTCACGTTAAGGAAACCACTTTTAGTAAATTTGTATTAGAAAAAACAATTTAAAAATTATTTTTATACTTTAATTTAAATTTGTACACAATTTCCAAGATGATATTTCTTAATTTATGTGCCCCAAGGGCACAAGTTAACATTACCCTTAAAAAAATCAATTATTAAATTTAATAAATGTTTTAAAACTTTTCTTTTATTTTAAAATTTGATTGAATATTGATTTTATGTAAACGGTCACAAATAAAACAAGATACAAAATTATTAGTTGCATTTATTATTTAATAATTTAAATTAAATTAATTACACTATTGAAATAGTAGAACTTTTTTTTTTTTTACTGAAAAATAGTAGAATTTATGTTCCAAAATAGTATCTTTAACTTAGTAAACACTTTGCAAATAAATCAACAAAGTACACCCTTTGCATATTAGGTGAGGAAGAATCTAATGAGAGTTTTAATTGAGTTCTATGAATGTAAACTAAATATATATTTTTTTAAAGTATATGATTTATGTTATAAAATCATATTAAAATATAATTTTCTATGAGACCAATACACAGTTTTTTGCAATAATTTTTTTTTGAAAAAAAATATGCATTCAATACAAAACGAATATTAATAATGAACATCTATCGTATAAACAAATAATTCCTGATATTTGCATGCATAATTAAAGACCCGCGTTGAGTTTTCTTCCAAACGGTTGCAAATGAACTAAGTATTTTACATTGAATTATCAAGTGAGCCATATAATAAATTGATGGAACATCTATCCATTGAATGATGTGCTGCAAACGCACTTCATCCTTTATACTTTATGCTAAATGGAGAAAGACACATTCATGCGCAGGATGGGTGTGTAGTTTGCTCTTCATAAATATTTTTTGATCCTTATTTTGATTAATGTCCAAATTTCAATAAGTATCTAAAATTTAATGTTACAAAGGTACAACTCATTTACAAACCATCTTCTTCCATATCTTTTTGGCATTTTACATAAGTCATTCCTTAATTTTAATATCACAACTTTAATACATAATACACCTTAAAAACATTAGCAACACCAGTATATAATTATACAACATAGACAATCACATTAAACATACTTAGGATAGATTTATACGATATAACATTTCGGTTAAACATACTTAGGATAGATTTATACGATATAACATTTCGGTTGTTTTTCTTTTCGACATACATCTTACCTTCTTTTCTTTTGGATCCTGATCTGACCTGACCAGAAGGGGATCACTGACTGGCCGCGCCCTACTGGATTTATGCCTGTTCACCGGTGTTGAATAAGAGGTGGGGAGTGTTCACCGGTGTTGAATAAGAGGTGAGAAATGTACCTGCAAGACACTCCGATGCCAAAGTAAGAAGTTGGACAAAGTGATCACAAGTACAGAAAATGGTAAGAAGTGAATAACTGACCCTCTTGTGAAAAAGGGTATTTATAGAGAGACCTCAATGCTGGGCCAACAGTCACTTGTGTTGGGCTGGATTGCCAGGCCCAACCCAGGTGACTGCTAGGGTTTACGTGGCGTAGTGAAGACTGAAACATGGTTTTCGCCCTAGTTCAACTGCTCCGTGGATTCCAGAAAGTGGGTTGACCTGCTCTTTCGGAAGTGGGTAGTTGGTTGATGACGTGCCCCCGCGGAGGGGAGCACGTGGAGAACATGTGAAGGACACGTTGTTCTGCTCGGCAAGGGAGAAGGTTTTGCCCGACGGAAACAGTGTCTGCTCGACGAAGAGGAGGTTCTGCCTGCGGAAGGGGATTCTTTGCCCGACGGGGACCTTGTGCTCGACGGCAGTAGCCCAAGCCAGATTGGGCCTACTGCACATTATTGGGCTGGGTCTGCTCAGTCAAGCCGGGGCTCAGGCCAGAACAGATCCAATGTAAAACTTAATACATCACCTTTTTTTGAGGTTCTTTTCTTTAGCATAACAATATCATTAAATATATTTTATTATGTATTAAATATTTATGAAAAATATTGATAAATTTAACATTTTATTCTAGAAATGAGTCAAATATCAATATTTCAAATTTCAAATTTATTTTCAAAAATTGTTAATTATTTAAAATTTTATTACTTAATTATGATATTTATGAGTATCCTACAAAAGATATAATTTTAATAATACTTACATAAATTAGGAGATTGTAAGAGAAAATATATATTTACGGATAAAATTGAATTACTGAAACGGAGAAAATGAAGTCATTGATAATATAAAAAAACATATGTGACAAATATTTTTATACGCGGAAAAAAATTTAAATTTTTTAGATTGAACTTTATTTTTATATATGAAAAAAGTGTATGGATGATCCAAATACTTTTATATTTGAAACAAATTTTTTATTCATGAAAATATTTTTATAAATAATTGCATAAATATTTTTATAAAAAATATCAACAGATGTCTGTGGATATTAATTCTATCTTATTTTTTAAAAAATATAAAAAATATTTTTTATATTTATTAACTTTTATTAATTCTATTTTTTTAAAAAAAATTTAAATATAAATAAATGCGCGACGAAAATATTAAACGATAAAAATCAATAGTACATGTCTTTCCAATAACATTTGCACAAACATTTCCTTGGCAAAAGTTATAATATAAAGATATTGTCCATTCTTTTTACATAATTTTTTTAATCTTTAATTCATCAACATATTTAAGAAGACACCCAATAAAAACATTTGTTTTAAACTTTCAATGTCTTTTAATAAAAACATTTGTTTTAAAAAGTGCGATAAAATATTTAAGAAGACACCCAATAAAATACTTTTTACAAAATATACATTTCTTGTATCCAAAATTAGGTACATAAATTACAGCCACAATTAATTCGTGGATAATACGAAACAAACAATAATAGCAAAAATACTAAAAATAAAACACACGTGACATCGACAACACATCACGTGCATATCAAATGTCACCGGTGCATGAGATAATTCGGCGTAGGACTAGCGCATGTTGACCGGAGAACAAACTCCGTCGTCCGTTTACCATTAATATCGTAATAAATAACGCCGGAGTAATCCAACGGCTCACACTTTATTCCCATCAATATCTCCTTCTGCCAAATTCCGTAGCATTCTTCCTCCTCCTGCTGTTTCTTCTTCGTTGTCTTCTTCCCGAATTTCAACACCGATTTCGGTGCCTTGAGATCGATCCTCCATTCGCCGTCTCTAATCATCGCTGCTTTCGCCTTTCCTTTTAATCGGCCGGCTTGTTTTGTTAATAGAGATAGAATCTCCGACAATGCAACCAAGATGCGATCGTTTGGTTGGTGCTTCGGAGACTCCGGCGAAGTGACCTTCATTCTTTCTCTCGCAGTTTTTGTTTCTGCGATGAGTTAGTTTTGTGGCTAAATTTTCTCAATATGAAATTTGAAAGGATGGGTGTGTATATATAGGTGTAACGTGTAAGAGAATGGGTTTATCTTTTTAATTTGAAATTTAGATTAGTTAGACAAGTTTGTTAATGGTCGTAATTATTACTTAATTAACTTCTTTTTCAAAAACAATAAAATAAATTATTGTTAAATTTGGTCAAAAGGCCAATCTGGATTATGGAGAAGAAGATAACGTAGATTTATCATTTTATGAGTTTTTCTTTTCATTTGTAATCAAAATTAAACTATACTCTATCCGATTTATATTATAAACAATTCTTTTTAATTTATTGAATAATTAAATAATTTAATTTATTTATAGTATAAAATGGATGGAATATATGGGATGAATGAGAAATTGTGAGTTTCAATATGCATTTGAGTATATTAAATATTTTTATGTAATTTTTTTTACCTTTTCTTTTTATTGTTTTTATGAGAAAATATATAATTCATTCAAGTTATATATATATATATATATATAGTGGCTAAGGGACAAACATGCAAAATCAACATTCTAATGACCGATTCAATGGGAGCTGTTTTATATTGGGTCTATGGTCGACTTAAAACTCTTTCTCCGAAAGTTTTTTGTGGTGTAGTAGCAAGAAGCCTATCTGAAACTAGGATGGATTCCATATATTAGGGTTGTTGTTTTGTGGTGGAGTAGCAAGAAGCCTATCTGAAACTAGGATGGATTCCATATATTAGGGTTGTTGTTTGTAGGGACAAATGAGGTTAGGCCGCCAACGTGGTTGACCTAGGGAACAAGCACATTCAATGTTAGTCTTATCATTAAGGTATTTCAAAGGATTTCTTGGACACATGGCCATAGGTTTCTAGTTTTAGGTGTGGCGCCTCTTCTTAGAATACTCGAGTGTGCTCAAGTATTGTTGTATTTTCGAGTCAAATCTTAACTGTTGTTTTTCATCTTCCCATTTTATTTTATTTTATATTGCTGATTTAATCATATTGTAGTATTATATAAAGCTCACTTGGTCTTTCAAATAAACTTTCACTCTTTATGTAAACCGAGATTTTCTCCTTTTCACTCAAACTTTGGTCTTCATTCCCGAGCTCCGGTAACCCTTATTTTCATCATCCTTTCTCTTTGTTTGAATTCTATATTTCACTATTCATCGTTGTCTCCAAGTTTTATTTTGCTTCTAACTGCTCCTACGATACACCTTTTTTCTCAGGTACCATTTCTAGCCTCCTTATTTACATTCTGTTAATTTTGCTTTCTATCTTTGTCATGACCAACTTAGAAAATAAACATGTAAATATGATTAATGTCCTTGCTGACGGTGATTCCGCACTGTCCACCAGAGTAGAGAATCCTTATATGACAAATGTTGATCTTTTAGATACCAACAACCTAACCCAAACCTCATCGTACTTAGCTTATCAAATGCACTCAGTGGCTTGGGCTTTTTCTAAAATGTTCCAGTATTGGTGTAAATACCGAAATCAAGAACCATCTTCTTAAATATCTTCACCATGACATGCACCTCTATAATAAGTGGCCAGTATAAAGGTTGATCTCACTATGCCAACTGCTTAAAGTGTTTGGTGTAACCTTGAAAGTTGGAAGAACCTCAATGATTGTTACTTTTTAGTAACCCCTCAGACTCCGTGGGCTCACTCAGTATTCTACAAAGTCCCTGAGGGAGATCCTATTCTGACTGGCCCCCTGGTTTGGAGCCATCTGAGTGTAAGTATAGGATTTAAAAATTCTAGGCCCCGAGCCACTTTAACCACAAATAAAACACATATATTATCCCTTCTGACACTGTGACCTTGCAAGAAGAGTCACTGAAGGAGGATTTGATAACTTTATTGGAGTAGTTAGTCTACAAGGAAGGGGATGGCCCTTTAAAAGTGGACCTTGCCATGTAGAAGAGGTAGTTAGTTAGTACCCCAATGATTATCTTGTCGCTTGCGTGAAAAACACCTGACAAAGACAAAGAGTCGTCATCAAACTTTATTTATCCCACCGAAAAAGAAAAACATCGAGAAAATCTCAGGAGGGAGAGAACATGGTCTCGCAACCAAATTCAGGGTTCAGGAGTCGATTATCCAAGAAGATGGTGTTAGCATCCCTCGCGTTTGTTGTACTCAACAGGATCCACTCTTGTTGTTCTAATCAAATGGTGTATATATCCAAAGCTTACTTACTAACGGAATGCATGAATGAATTATTAGGGAAAAAAGAAAAGGTTTTTATTATTAAGTTCGTTCGAATTTCGCAACCCAATGTCCACGTATCCCAAAGGGAATCAGAACTCCGTAGTTCTTGTGGAAAAAGTTTGCTATGTTTAGCGGTTTTTATATACAATGTTAACGTTCGCATTCCAACTGCTAGGTTTTGCCGCTCCCGCGTGAGGAGACTTACACTTTAGCCTGTATTTACGGCAAAATGGAAGTAACACGTCCTTTCTGAAAAATTTTAAGAGAAAATCCTGAAGGAAATAAGAAATACGTTTGTTGAAATGTTTTTGTTAAGTTTTGAAAAGGTTTGTGACATGCATCACACTAAAGTCTATGACAATAGAAACAAATACTTTGCACAAACGACCTGAGATGGCTCGCGCGAAAAGCATTCTATAAGAGGTAAGGAAAGATTCCCGCTCATCATTTCCCATGTACTTAAGTCTCGTGACGCTCTATGCGCATCGTATTTATTAAGTATTTTGGTGTTGATATTTTGGTGTTGATGCAAGAATTTTGTTGTTGTTTTAAGAGATGCAAAAAGGAAAGAAAAATCTAGGGGAAAACTTCATCCTAAGTGTTGTCATGCAAAATGGTCCTAAAGTTGAGATGAAATGGAATTTCTACCCTAATGTGATCATGCAAGATGGACCTATGGTTGAGGATAAAGGGAAAATCCACCCTAGTGTTGTCATGTTTGGATTAACATCCTAATGTCTATCCTACTCCAAGCTTAATAAAAAATTAAGTTGGACTAGAAAACCCTAAGGGAGCATGTGAGCACACACAAGTAATAAATAAGAAAAAGGCAAAAACAACGACATATAACAATGCATTATGTTCAGAACACCAATGCATTTTATGTAACAAAATAACAACATTTAACAACTCACTTCAGCTAGAACAGGTGTATATGTAGCATCAACAAAATGCAACATATAACTGCATGTATCATGCACAACAACTGTGTATGCACCAATAACATTGAATTCATTCAATAAAATCAAGCATACATGAACATGTATCATACAAGAGTAAGAGAGCATTAACATGTAGTCAACAATTAACAATGCATATGAACATGCATCAACAACTAAGCAATCATATGAATATGCATTAACAATCTAAGATCAAGCAATGTGAGCATGTGATTAACAACCCACAACGTTTAACCAAACATAAAACAACCATTAATTCCCAAAGCATGAAAAATTAATGGTAAACAGCTCAAGAAATGTCCACAAATATCAACCTATCAAGCAATGAAGGATGAAAGTGGAAGAGATTCAAAAAAGCAACAAAAAAGAAAATTATGTCAGGTGTAACCAGTTATCTGAAATGGGGTAACCGGTTACATGCTTGAGAATTTGAATTCTAGTGCCACTTGTGAAAGGTGTAACCGATTACAGGCTTTTGGGTAACCGGTTACGTTAGTGCAAAAATGAGAAAATTACCTTGTTGCAACCTGTTCTGAGCATGACTCTACGTCTGAACCTTAACCTTTGGTATGACACTTTGAATGATGCTCAAAATATGATAGGTAACTTGTATAGAATAAATCATATGAACTTCGTGCTCTTTGTTCTTGATTCATTTGTCGAGCAAAATAAATGCTTGAAGCGTTTGATGACTGTGAATTTAGTTCTGAATGCTACTGAAACACTCTCTGAAATAAAGAAAACCCTGAACCGCAAGAAATAAATCGTGATCCCATGCCCTAAGAGCTCACACACATGAATTATTATGATATCATGACCTAGTGGATATGCACGTGAATGAGAAGCAAAAGCCAACTAAGATTAGAAACAAAAGGGGAAATTTTGGGGTTCAACAGTTGCCCCTATTTAATCGACTTAAATCTGAAGGTATGGTAAGATTTTCAGACATTCAAGGTATAAGGGGAATTGAATACCAAAAGGACCATGAAATTTGGACTCTGGGGGGTGACAGAAATATAACATTGATAGGGTGCCAACCGAAGATGGACTTTAAGAAGAAAAGAGTGTCAGCCAAAGGCGGACTTAAAAAAGATACCAACCGAAGGTGGATTTTGAAAAGAATGTCGGCAGAAGGCAGAATTACAACAATATTTCCAACCGAAGGTGGACTTTGAAAAGAATGCCGGCTGAAGTCGGACTTAAAAAGGGTATCATCTGAAGGTGGATTTTGAAAAGAATGTCGGTCGAAGGAAGATTTACAACAAGAGTGCCACCCGAAGTTGGACTTTAAGAAGAAGAAAAGAGTGTCGATCGAAGGCGGACTTAAAAAGGATATCAGTCGAAGGTGGATTTTGAAAAGAATGTCGGCCGAAGGCGGACTTACAACAAGGGTGCCAGCCAAATGTGGACTTATAACAAGGATGCTAGCCGAAGGTGGACTTTAAAAAGAAGAAAAGAGTCACTACAAGAAAAAAAGTGTTTTGCGACACATAGGTTGCGACGGTTCCATAAAAACCGTCCTCCTTTGTAAGTTACGACGGTTTTGAACAACCGCCTTTAATGTTTAAAATTTTTTAAACTATTAAAACGGTTTTGGACAACCTCTGTTAAATATTAAAAAAAATTAAACATTTTATGACGGTTGAAGGCCTAACTGCCTTAAAAAGATGTTCACGACAGTTCAACAATCGTCGCCACCAAATAAATTCAAAAAGCGTGCTCTTGGACAAATTAAGAGGAATCAACAAAAAGAAAAATAGGACTCTGACGGTTCTAGAA